CACTCACTGGACCTGGGCTAGGACTGGGTCTGGGGGCTCTTGGAACTCGGCAGAAAATCCTACTCGGCGGGTGGGGTGGGGGAGGCACTGCGGAGTGCTGGGGTCGGCCCGAGGGGCTCTCCTTAATTATTTTTGGAAGATAGCGAAAAGGGAATAGCTGGGTCAAATGGAATTTCTAATTTTAGTCTTTAGAGGCATCTTCACACTGAATTCCATATTGGTTATACTAGTTTATATTTGTACCAGCAGTGTAGAAAAGTTCCTTTTTCCAAGGTACAGGCTTTTGTAGGACACGATTGTCCCTAAGAACAGTAGTGCATGGATACCCCTTCAGCTCCTATCTTCTGTCTTTGTTCAGGCTGGGAGTAATACCTCTGGCCTGGTTTAGCAGGTTGTGTTACACCCCTTGAGATGTAATTCAGATACCTAGAAAGGCTCAGTAGATCATTAGTCTGTGGCAGGTATTTCAGGTGTCCCAGTTATGGAGTGTGGTTTGACAATAAAAATTTTATGTTACTTTTTTTTTTTTTTTTTTCAGTACCGGGGATCAAACTCAAGACCTTGTGCTTGCCAGGCAGGCACTTATGCATGCCGCTGAGCTATCTCCCCAGCCCTCCAACAATTAAATTTTATTTTAATTTTTTTTCAACAATTAAATTTTAAATGATTTTAAATTGTTTATAGCTAGAGAAAGATACATACAAAAGAAGTACATGTATTTGCTGTAATGATCAACTAAATAGATGTTTGTATTAGTACAAATTTAGTAACTACTCACTGTTGATTTTTTTTTCAGGCTTTAGTATATGAGCACCCTGGACAAGAGTTGGAAATTGAGCTTTTTGATGAAGACCCAGACAGAGATGACTTCTTAGGAAGGTGAAGGGGGCCCTCAGGCATTGGGGAGGCACAGGAGCACTCTGCTGTCTGTCACACTAGCAAATATCAGTTCAAAAATGTACTTATTTGGGGGCTGGTGAGATGGCTCAGTGGTCTAAAGCATCTACTTAGAACAAGCTTAAGCTAAGCAAAGTACAGGGACCGCGGTTCAATCCCCCAGCACCACATGCCTGCCAGCCCCGCCCCCTGGTGGGCTGAGCTGGCCACACACACACACACACACACACACACAATAAATAAATATTTTAAAAAATGTACTTATTTGTATGTGTATATTTTTAAATGGCTCTTACAGGTAACATTTGTCACTTAGATTTCTTAAGACATTTTTAATACTAAAACATCATACTGAAGAGAAGACAGGTTTCCAGCTTGGCTGCCTGTCACAGTCACCTCTACCTAGCTGCTTCACATGAAGTTATTAGAATCAGTCCAACTAAGCCCTGCAGGTGCTGTGTGCAGGGCCTGCCCCGGGGCAGGGAGTTTCCAGGCATGTCCTTCTAGATTGTGGAAAGGGGGCGTTAAAGCTTTTTCAGTTTGTTAGGATATAGTTATTTACATTGTGCCTGTGCATTGGGAGAATAGATGTTTGTTTACTTCAGTTAAATAATGAATACAGCTGGTGAAAAATGAACTTTGAAAAATACACCTCAACCTAATCTTTATTGTTTAACTAAATTTACTGTGGAAGAAAGAACATAAGAAAGCATGACTTTGCTGCGGTTTGTGCCGCATCCAGAGTGACTTTATGTGTTTTAGGTGCAAAGTCCATGGTAAATGCAGCAGCACAACTAGGATCAGTACGAACAGGGTGAGGGCAGATCGTGCACTGTCACACAGTCTGCATGTGGGCTGCAGGCTGCAGGCCAGCTGGGGCCTGATGATGAGGTCCGGGTAGTTGGGCCAAGCACAGGTGTGACCTTCCGTCCCAGTCATTCTGCTCCTCTGGGGCCAGTGCCGTCTTCTGACTTAGGAGCGGGCCTGTTCAGGAGAACCAGAGAGGCTTCCTCTTGGACATCCCAGTGTGAGGCTTGAGCAAGGCTGCGGAAGGGGTCAGAGCCCTGATTCAGCGTGTGGGTAACGGAGTCCACAGTGCTGAGTAATGATACCAAGGAAAGTGTGGAAGATCAGAGGCTGGAATATTTTTAAACATTTTTGGGGTGAAATTCAGCTTGCAAAGGACTAGTTTATTATAGCTATGACTTCAGCTGGGCCAAACTGGGCCTTCTCATAGCACAGAAGCCCAGCCTGCTCTTGTTCCTGCTTCTGACACTGGGGCATCAGCTAGAGAGCTTTTGGGAAAACAACGTTTTTTTTTATAAATTACATAGCATTTTGTTGCATTTCTGGAGTACTTTTTCTTTCCGCTGTAAGAAATAAATGTTTTCTGAACTTTTTGTGTTATTCCTGTAGTCTTATGATTGATCTCACTGAAGTTGAAAAGGAGCGCCTTTTAGATGAAGTAAGTTCTGCATTTGCGTTATTTAATAAACACTGACTTAGTGCCAAAGGAGTGTGTCAAAGCAGAAGAGGATTACTATGCCACCCACTCACCCAGTGCGGGGGTCCTAGCTAGTACTGTAGGGCCACATTTTCTTTGCAAATATTAAGAAGAGTTTAGGCCTTTAATAATAGCAAAGTAAAAAGAAGTTTAAAAGTCCTAGCTACTCTATGCTAGCAGTTCTTTTGGTCCTGAGACTGATGTCATGCAGACAGTCTGCCCCCTATAGGCAGGAGGTGCGCACAGGCTGTGAAGGCAGGTTCCGCGGTAGTTGTGGTTCATAGCAGAGATGGCATACTGCAGTAGACTCCAAAAGGTGTCTAAATACTGTGGGGATTTACAGCAAGAAGACACTACCCCAAACAGGGATATTATCAGAATAAAACATTAAAAAAACATTTACGGAGGCTTCTAAAAAGACAGGTAAGATTTAAGTAAGGGAAGACGGACCAGCCTAATCAGTGGTTACCCTGCTGCTGCCAGAGCAGTGTGTTCTGTGCAGAGCACCCATGTGACAAGTGTTTCTCGTGCATGTACTACGTGCCAGGCATTGAGCACAGCGTTGAACAGAATAGATAAAGCTTAGCCTATGGTATTTCCCTTCTCACCACTGAGTGTTTGGGGACCTCCTTTATTAATTGTGTTTTTTAAGCTGAAACTACCTGATGTTATTTTACTAATTGGCAGATAGTGACGGTTAAAACAAATGTTAACTTCTTCAGTACTACTGTTCAGCATGTAGGGAGCAGAGCTTCACAGCGTGGCCTCTGAATCCCATGTGCGTCCATCTACAGAAGGCTTTCCTGGGGCAGCACAGCACTGGACATTGGAACCCTGTGTGCGGGGCAGGGCTTGTGCTCAGTACTTCTCCAAGCCTTCACTCATTTGGGTGCTCTGTGCACAAAGCCTAAGAGCAGTCTCGGGCCAGCACCAGCCCTCCCTGTCATGAGGCAGCCTGTCATGAGAACACAGAGTATAGAGCTCATGTGGCATGTGCATTACAGCCAGAGCTGAGAACCTGTGCTGCCTGCGGTCAGTGAGAACGTGTGTTGTTTATAGAGAAGAGGCTTCATGTGACGTTTTTATTCAAGAGAACTGAGCTTTCCTACTTTCTCTCCAGTGGTTCACTCTGGATGAGGTTCCCAGAGGAAAGCTGCACCTGAAGCTGGAGTGGCTCTCCCTGCTGCCGGATGCCTCACACCTCGATAAGGTATGCACAGTGTCTGCTCACAGAGGCCAGCCCTCCTGACTCCAGGGATCTGTCTCAGATTGTGTTGCTATTTGATTTTTTTAAAAATACCATTAATGTTTATTACTATGTTTAAGTCATTTAGTGTCATGTCTGGATAAATTAAAAACAGCAGAATGGGTTTTTTGGCTTTTGTTTGTTGTTTTGTTTTCCTGTGCTAGGGGTTGCACTTATATTCTCCACACTGAGCTATATCCCCAGCCCTTTCAGTTTCGATACTTATTTTGAGTATTTCACTAAGTTGCCTAGGCTAATCTCAAACTTGAGATCCAATTTCCCCCAGCCTCCCAGAATGCTGGAATTATAGGTATGCTCCATTATTAGAATTTTTAAAAAATAAAATGTGGTGGTCTTTATATCAGTTTTCTGAGCTCTTCAAATTATGTGATTGCTCAGTACAGCGATTTGAAGAGCCATAGTCACGTGAGTATTCCCTTTGATTGGTTTGTAATTCTTTTGTCCTATAAAAGACAGCTTGTTGCATGAGTTGAACAACGCATTTATTACCTTTCTTGTTCCCTGAGCGTGATGGAAGTAATAGGCACAGGCAGTGTGCCATCACGTGGACACATGCCCACTAAGGCTTTCCCCCTCCTAGGTGCTGGCAGACATCAGAGCTGACAAAGACCAAGCCAGTGATGGTCTTTCTTCTGCACTGCTGATCTTGTACTTGGATTCAGCACGGAATCTTCCGGTAGGTAACACAATGCTAGGCCTTCCCCCCGGCAGCATATCTTGCTTGGAAACCACTGCTCTTTTCATTGTCCATGAATCATCTGACGGTCTCATCTGCTGTGTTTGCACTGCACTTTGAGTGCAAGCGCAGCAACAGAAAGACACAAGTCAGCACTTGCTTTGTGTGTGATGTTTATCTTGGTACTAAAATTTAGTTGCCCCAAGGTGGCAATCTTCTCCACTTGGAGCGGGACTGAGATGAAGCAGTTCTGATTACAGACTGTAGCTAGGATGTAGCTGGATGCCACACAAGTTGCTGTATCTGGCAATTCCTGTGGTGTCGGGGCACGTGGCACTGCTGAACAGGTGTGCCAAGCCTTCAGATATCTGGGCACTCTAGCAGAACAAAAAGACATGGTCCACTGTCAAACAAAAGGATGTTTTACAACCTAAAAGTATATACTGGTGCTTGTGTGCATCAAAATTTTTTTTCCTGTAATTTTATTGAGAAACAAATAGCAATGAGACAGTTTACAAATTGGTACGATAGTTTCAATAATTAACACATTGCATACTCTCTTCCTAGTGGTTATTTGCTGTACAGGATGCAGACATGATATCCTATTTACAAACACTGTTACAACAAATCCCTCTATTCAGTAAGAGAATGTAACTGTGTATCTGTCCTAACCACGTTGAATACACACATACAAAATGGACATTTATCTGTATCCCCTTTTTTGTTCAGTTCCGTCATTTGAATATTGTAGGTGTGTGAACTCAGCATCAAAATTGTTTTGCTCTTAGGAAAAAAGATCATGAAGTACAGTTTTGTAGTTAATAGCTTTTGTTTTCTAAGCTCTTCAGATTTTGTCATTGCTCAGTACAGCGATTTGAAGAGCCATAGTCACCTGAGTGTTCCCTTTGATTGGTTTGTAATTTTCTTGTCCTATAAAAGACATAGTTGGTTGCCCGAGTTGAACAACACATTCATTACCTTTCTTGTTCCTTGAGCATGATAGAATAGTCATGAACAGTGTGCCATCGTGTGGACACACACCCACTAAGACTTTTTGGAGAAGAACAATGTGTTGTTTTCATCATGCCAGTGTAGTGTGATCTTCTGTTGTGGTACTTTAAACCCCCTCTGTATGGTAATGTTGTCATCACTGTTACATTGTTTGATAATTTTTTTAAGTGCTCATATTCTTGTTCACCAAGTAATGATTCTTTGTTTCACTGAGTTAATGGCCACTTTTGTTGAAAGAAAGAATACTGCCACTAAACCAGGCGTGGTGGCACATGTCTGTATCCCACCACAGGGGAGGCTGAGACAGGAGGATGGTTGGGAGTTCAAGACCATCTTGGAGGGGCTGGTGAGATGGCTCAGTGGTCTAAGGCACCTACTTGGAACAAGCTTGGCAAAGCACAGGGACCACGGTTCAATCCCCCAGCACCACATGCCAGCCAGCCCGCCCCCTGGTGGGCTGAACTGGCCACACACACACACACACACACACACACACACAATAAATAAATAAATGTTTTTTTTAAAAAAAAAAGACCATCTTGGGCCACATAGTGAGTTCAAGACCTGCCTACACTAGCCTAATAAGACCCTGTCTGGAAAACAAAATATATATATAAAAAGAAAACTGCTGCCAGTACAAGGTTCTGTTCTCAAGGGTCCATTGCATGACTACAGCACGCATGTCCACTCACATAAGTGCAGTAGTGAGTGAATAGTCTCTCCAGACAAGAGAGCCATGGATCCCTTCACCTCTGTCCACACTACATGTTAGCCTTGAGTGATGATTGTTTCATCCATTGTAGTTTAGCTTACCATGCATAAGCCATTTCTTTATGAGTCATGAAATTGTTTCATTTGGCACCTTTCAGGTTTTGAAAATCATTTATTTATTTGAGTTTTGCTCCAAAATGAAATAGCCATACTTTATGTATCAGTAAATTTTGTTTAAAGCTAATTAAAATATCACTGAACTTTTTTGTAATACTGGGAGGATTGTTTATGTAATTGCTTGTGATTGTATTCTTTCTTTCAATTCTGGCTTCTTGACTGATTTCAACTTCTTACATTTCTCTTAAGGAGTTTATCTTAATCTTTGGCCAGTCTTTTAATCTAAACTCCGTATCTGCTATGATTTCAAATTGGGAAAAGTTAACTATTTAACCTTTCTGCAGAATTTCTTGTTCAGTAAGAGTTTCTGCTTTTGATCATAGTAATACTTGTTTCAAAATATGGTAATGCTATGATTTTATAGTGCCTTGTTGGAGTGAGTCGATTGTCTGTTTTAGGGTATAGGAACAGAGTTGGTGAGCCTGCAGGCTATGATGTGGCAATGCTTTGCCTCATTGAGTTGAAACTCGAGTGATACCACGTAGCAATAAGAAGCACAGTGAACGTGCCGACTCTCTGTTACAAGGACACTTGGAGCGTGAAGTGTGCCATGGCCAGCAGAGACACAGGAGCCAGCACAGCTGCTGCCCTGCTGGGCTGGGCCTCAGGCCCGCCAGCTCTGCACCTGCCCTCCATGCTTCGCGTGTGCGCACTGACCACAGTCCACCGTTCTCTGCTTTCTCCTCCCATCCCCACTTTCCTAAGAGTATCTACGAGGGAAGCTTTGGGTGTGGCTACTTAAAAGAGAGGCGCGCGTCCGGACTAGTATTTTGTGAAAATACTGCCTCAGTCTCTAGAGCACTATTTGTGAGTCCTCCAGCATTCCTTCTTTTTTCTTGGGTGGAAACTGCGAGAGTGTGGCTGGAACTCCTTCCGTGTGGCCTGCTCCTGTGGAATGGTGTGCATGCCGTGCGCATCTTCTTGCATGGTCTCAGTTACGTATGTTCACGCTGTGCTGGTCTCGTAAAATATAACACTGCTGTAACGTTGGTGAGTGCATCTGACCTGAGGCGAACTAACTTGGGATTCCTCAGCTGCTACAGGCCCAGAAAAAGTGAAATTCCTCCGAGGAAGAAAAGATGTAATTCATCTCAGTGTGAGATGCAGAGATCTTTTTGTTAGCTTTCACAAAACTTTATTTCTGTGTACATTTTCTTTAATCTTTTATTTATTTATTTGGTACAGGGTCTCACTATACAGCTCAGACTTATAGTGATCCTCCTGTCTCAACCTTCCCAGAGCTGAGATTACAGGCCTGTGCCACCACGCTTGGTTTCAGTGGCTGGCACGGTGACACAGCATGCAGTACTGGGGATTGAACCCAGGTCCTTTTGCTTACCAAGCAGGTGCTTAGAGAGCTGAGCTAACTCCCCAGGTCTCACAAATTTTTTTTTCCTTTTTGTATTTTTTAGGGAAGGATCTCACTATTATATCAGACTTGGAGTAATCTGCCTGCTTACAGCCTCCCAAGAGCTGGGATTACAGATGCCTGCCACCATGCCCAGTCTCATTTGCCCTCTCAGCATGCCCCGAGGGCGGGGCTGGCATGGCAGGCCCAAGGATCGAATCCCGGCCCCTGCAGAATCCCCTGAGCTATTTGGCCAGCCCCTCTCACAAAATTTTTGAGTCTGCATTTTCCTACTGACCAGGCACAGCAGTGCTAGAACTCGCTTTCTTTCGGCACAAGTCACCCAGTGCCCTCTCAGTCACAGAGGCACAGTCATGGGAGGACAGACATGCCATCTTGGTGAGAGCCTTCCTTCTCCCAGGTGGCCTAACTCAGGACCCTAGAGCAGCGGAAGCCACGCTGCGCTTGTGACCTGCTCACGTAGGGAACTTCGCTTCCTAGAGTGGATCATGAGCACTTGCGACCTGATTTCATGAGGGGATGTTTTGTTCTCCATGGCCACATCTGGGCCTTCGCTCCTGGACCTGTGTGGTGTCCTCTCAGTTGGTGGCTGGTTTTGCTTGCTCTGGGGTCTAGGAAACCCAGACTTACTTGTTTTATCTAGAAAGTCTCTTGAGATTTAATTCCATAATCACTGAGATTCTTAAGGTCCATTGCCTTAAGAATGTACTAGTGATGGTGTTCTGCAGTTTTGGGGTTTTCTTTTCTTATGTAGTTAGTTAGTTAGTTAGTTAGTTAGTTAGTTGTATTTTTTAGGCAAGGCTTCATTGTGTAATTCAGGCTGGGCTTGAACTTGCAGCAATCCAACTGCCTCAGCCTCCCAAGTACTGGGATTACAGGCATGGGACACCACATTCAGCAATTTTGGAGTTTTCATTTCTGTTTTCAGAAACTTTCTATGAGTATTCTCAGTGTATTTTTGTTTTGTTTTGTTTTGTTTGTGGAACCAGGGATTGAACTCAGTCCCTTGCACTTGCCAGGGAAGCACTTATTGCACTGAGCCATCTCCCCAGCCTCTTCTCAGTGTATTTTGTACAGTATTTCTAAAAAGAGGGACTGGAATAGGTGCTTTGCCCTGTTTTGTAGATGAGGAGGATCAAGACCCAGGAGGATAAGTGCACTGTCAGTCACACCACTAGTGAGGGGGAGCCAAGCCTCCTGGACTCTGTGTCCTCACCCTGTATAAAGAAGACAGTGGTGTGTAACACAGCATATCCTAACATTGTTAAAGAAAACTTTTCTGCTTCTGGTGATCTTGGTGGAAAATGTCATCATAAACTAGTATAATTGATAAGATAGCTCTGCTATCTGAATTCTGTCCGTGTCTCCCCAGTGGGTTTTCTTATTCATATTCCCCAGTCTACAACTGCTTCCTCTGGGGAAAGGAAATAGTTGTGACCTTGAGCCAGATTTTGAAATTACTTTTAGGTGTGCAGCCTGTCATATTGCTATGTTTTCAAAGTTAACTTTCTTCCTACATTTTCAAAAATCACTCTTCACTTTTACGATTGAAATGCATGAACTACATAAAGTGCTTGCTCTGTGGGATAGAATGAGCACTTTTGGTCACCCACCAGTTTCCAGTATGAAGTCAGATCCATCTTCTCAGACCTTCCTGACAGGTGAAGGCTTGGCTATACCAGTAACATTCTAGGTGGTTGCCTGCCCATGGTTGTCTGTTTTCCACCTGCACAGACCCCTTCATTGTCCAGATCCCCAAGTAAAAAAGCCCAACAGTAGGACTTTCCCCCGTACTTAGAAATGACCTCTGTAGAATGTGGATGCTCAGACCCTTGCCCTCATCCTCCTTTGGATCAAGTGTGTAGCTGACCTTCGGCATGGACAGTGAAGATGTTCTCTGGCTGTGGTAGTAGTATCCGAACCTTGTGTGGCAGCTCGTGTTCCAGAGCATTTTCTAGTAGCTAGGCAGGGCTTGGAAAGCCCTGTACATGCCCTACATTGTGTTCTCCAGACCATGAGACACAGACAGCGCGGAGCACACAGCGAACTCAGGGTCAGAGAGTAGCAGACTTGTTGCCTTAGCAAGTGCACAGGTTCCTAATCTGTATGTGGGGTTTATCTTTGAGGGGAGATCTCTGTAGTACCTACCTTAAAAATAACAATGCGGCTATATAATATCTCCTACCATGCAAACCTTCAGGGATGGGGTGCTTTAGGCAAGTTCCTTTGACTGTCATTTTTAAAGAAAAGAACAGGTGCTATTGCTGCTCCATCGATAGTGAGAGGCCAGAGTGCAGGGGACCTGCCTTCTGCGTGTCTCACTTGGACATCAGCCTAGAACCTTTCAGGTCCAGGTCTTTCTCACCGCATGCTGTGCAGCTTTCTGACCTCACATGGCTCCCTGCACACACCTGCCCCTTCATTATGCTGCCCCCCCCCATTTCACTGTGTTTGATGCATGTGGGAATAACCAGCACATTTGGCTCGGCTGTACTTGCCCAGGGCGAACTTCAGGAAGAGGACCCAGTGATGCCTGACCCTTGGAGGTGAGGGCTCCTGGGCCAGAAGTGCGCAGTGCGTACGGCTGCAGGTGTGGTACCACTCGGGGATTACTGCGCCAAAGATAGTGAGCGGCCGTGTGCTAAAGTCTCCCTTTTGCATTTTTCAGCTCCTGAAGGGGAAGGGTGGCAGGTAGAAAGGATTATTGAGCATAAGGTAGTGAGTTTTGGTGTTTCTAGATTAAAGCTTGGCTTGAAGATAAGATCTTGAGCATAAATAATTTAATGGTTACTTGTATGACTCTTAGAAACTCTAATTTGGGGGATTATTTTTGTAAGTTTTCATGTCATTAACCTTACATAAACTCCTCATTGCATGTTTTATTAACCCTTGGTGTGTTCATTTTCTTCTGACCTGAAAGAGTAACCCATTAGACTTTAACCCCGGTGTCTTGAAGAAGGCTGCGGTTCAGAGAGCATTAAAGGTAAACGCAGGGCTCCCTGGAGGTCACAGTGCCAGTTGAGACATATTGAAAGAGATGGTACCTAGCCTCACGTGGGGTGAGCCCCTCCCGCAGACACAGTAACTGGTTACTTGGTGGGAGACGTCCTACTTGTTTATCCAACTGATAGAATTTACATCGACTCTAAAGGTAAATCTTGTAAAGATGATAAATCCTCTTGGCCTTTGTGTAAATATCTGTATTTTATTTAGATTTGAATTTATGAAATGATAATATGTGATTTAGAGTTCCATCTTGCAAATAGCGAGCACGCTCGTAAGAATCACCTCTTCCAATATGTTGAGCAGCGGCCTCTCTGAGTCAGCCTCTCAGCTATGGTGCTTCGGGTTTGGGTGATATGGGTCATTCCAGAACTTGGAATCTAGTTAAATGAGGTATATTGAGAACTCAGCTCCACTCCCTAAAAACACGTTATTGTGCATTCTCTGGTTAAACTGTCAAAAGTTTTCTATGACTTTTAATGTCTTATTATTTTTTTTTCTAATTTCTCTGAACATTTTAAAATTAAATATTTGAAGGAAGGGCTTTTAAATGTAATTCTGTTAAGAAAATTCCCAGTGATAGGCCAGTGAGATAACTCAGCGGTCTAAAGCGCCTGCTTAGGCAAGTTTAGGCAAAGCACACAGGGACCATGGTTTGATCCCCGGAACCACATGCTGTGCCATCCCTGCCCCCAGCGTGGGCTGAGCTGGCCACAAAAAAAAAGAGAGAGAGAGACAAAGAAAGAAAGAAAAATTGATTCCCAGTGAACAAACAGAAATGTTTTAACCAGTACCTCCCGGAACAGTGAAGGCAGCTGGAGGCCTGCTGCCTGGAGTGCTGTCTGTCAGCCCTTCCTGCTGCCCCGTCAGTGCCACACCTGTGAGTGCTGGTCACACGCCCTTGGCTCTCCGACAGCTGCCAGTGCAGAGCAGCATCAGGAAGGAGGGCTCTGCAGTCAGACCACTCAACTGCATGCCCCCCTTAATTCAGCCTGTTCTTTTTATAGAGTGTAAGTCCTATCCTTTCCATGGGATTACTGCGCAAATTAAAATAGAAGTGATTTAGGCAGGAAAATGGGTATTTTCTAATTGTCACATCACTACCTTGGTTCATTGAAGCCCAACACTGAGATTTTGGAAGTTACAGCATGCCATTTTTCAGACAGGGAAATGGCAAGTACAGGTGACAAAACATGTGGGCCTAGTTGTGGAGAGGTAAAGAGCTGAGGTTAAACTCATGACAAGCTGACGTAGAAGGCGCTATTTTCATTGTAAGTTGTGCCCTCGACGCGCACAGATGCATTTTGAACATCATGTCATGGTAGGAAACTGAGTAACTGCACCTGACTTCGTGTAATCTGAAAGTCAGCCATCTTAAAACAGACCATCATTTTCTGTAACACTGAAACAGACTGTACAGCCAGATGCGGGGGCACATGCCCGTCATTCCAACCTCTAGGGAGGCTGAGGGGAGCATCCCAAGCTCCAGCCCATCCAGGGCAATTTAGTGATTGAATGAGACACTACCTAAAATAAAAATTAAAGGCGGGGTGGGGGAAGCAGCCTGAGGATATAGCTCAGTACAGAAAATCCTGGGTACCAATCCCAGTACCACAGAAGGGAGATGAAAGGAATGCAAGAAGGCGTAGGAAAGATTATAAAGTGCCAGTTAGAGTTTGATAATGTTTACTTAATACTTACTGAGAAAATTTTTAGGATTAAGATAAAGATTTGTTTTACCTTGTCATATACATGTGACATTAACGAAAAATAGAAGCCCAATAAAGTGGTTTAAACAGCGCTGTCTCACTACTGCAGAATGCCCCACACCAGGCACGTGTTCAAAGTTGCAGTGGCTTAAGCGAAACAGGTGACCATGGCTGTGTCACGCCCGTCTTGGACAGGATCAGGCAGGGAGCAGATCCTCCTTCAAGGTCAGCATTAGGGACTCTGCCCTGACTGACTACAGGAGATCATAGTGATGAATGAACTTGGTTCACAGAGGACTTACGCTCAGCTAAGCTTGGGTTCTGACATCAAAGGAAGCAAGAATGAATTCACGGGGAAGTAGGTGGTTCTGCCACAGTACTCTATGACCTTGGATATTCTTTAACAGTATTTATTTCATTTTACAGAATTCATTCACCAAAAAGATGAACCAGAAATAGATTATCACAGTAGGTTTGGGCTAGTAGTATTTTTCCAGTAGTCATATGATTTTGACACCTATTTCTGTCATTGCTGCAGTGTTGAGGATTGACTCTAAAATTACTTAACTAAAAAAAAAAATATTGTGATCTTCTAATTAATTTCCACTAACATTTTTAACTACACCTTCTTGTGGGGCTAAGTTGTAAATAAACCTCATGTTACATATCTCTTCTGTTTCATTATGTTTTCTTCTATCAGCTATTTGTGCTAAAGAATGCTTCTTACTATTTATTCTTATTCTGAAATGTTCCTTTTTATTGGCTTACTTTAATGCAATTCCAAACAGAAGGCTATTCTTCTAGTCAAAATTACTTAGCAGCTACTAAGCAAGATTTGATGTCTGATAGCTGCCTATGTTTGAAAGGAGGGTGCTTGATTAAAAATGTAAACCATTCACCTGAAACTATATTTTATTACTCCAACTTGAGAAGTATTCTAAATTACTGATCTTTTTCCTTTGTCTTTTCCCTTGTTTTTTGGTTTCCATTTACTACACTCGGTACATTTTGTTATTCTAGTGAGTAGGTTCTGAAAACTGTAAGTAACATTAAAGAGTTTTAAAACATTCAATTTTCCCAAAGTAACTTGCTTAAAAACAACACATATAACTTTTAAAAATGGAATGCAAGCTGGGCATGTTGGTACACGCCTATAATCCCAGCATTCTAGGAGGCTGAGGCGGGAGGATGGCAAGTTTGAGCCTGTCCTACCAGTTTAGCAAGGCTCTGTCACAAAATAAATTTTTAAAAAAGAAGAAGAAATACATTTTAAAAGGGCTTTAAATGTAACTCAGTTCATAAGCGTTTGGTTCAGTCCCAAGCACTGAAAAAACAAAACATGTAGCTCAGCACAGTGGTAACATGCCTATAGTTCTGGTTACTTGGGAGGCTGGGAGAAGAAGATAGATTAAATCCAGGAATTTGAGGCCAGCCTGGCTAATAGAGTGAGACTCCCATCTCCAAACAAATAACACAAAAAAAGGCTGGATGTGGTAATGCACATGTGTGATCCCTAGTGCCCAGGAGGCTGAGCCGGGAGGATCACTACAAAGTCAAGGCCAGCTGGGCTGCATAGCAAGGCCCTATACAAGACAGAAAAATAAATTGTAGGCAAATAGAAATTTTCTTAATTTGTTTCATAGTAGAAGCAGTTATGGGTCCAAGTGTGCTTAGTAATTATTTTCCAGTTAAATTGTTCCCAGGTACTCATTCTGTGTATCAGAAGTAAATAGAAATGAGTCTTAATATCAACCCAGATGCCATTTTTAGTGAGATGTGTTTCCAAAATATACCTATTTATGTTGTCTTTTGTTTGTTTTTGAATAGTCAGGGAAGAAAATAAACAGCAACCCAAATCCTCTTGTCCAAATGTCAGTTGGTCACCAGGCACAGGAGAGTAAGGTAAGGTACTGATGTTGTACTGGTTTTGCGGCACTGTCTTTGCATACTCACACCTGCCACTGTCAGCAGCAGTTGCCAGCTGTGTGGTAGATGAGGCATCAAGATCTTTGCTTTTAATGTCTTTATTTTCTTCCCTTAAAAGTTAGTTCATAGATAACTGGCCATTTAATTTGTTAATATACTGCTTACTTTCTAAGAGCGTTGAAAAGTAACATGCAGGGGCTGGTGAGATGGCTCAGTGTCTAAAGCACCTACTTAGAACAAGTTTAGCAAAGCACAGGGACCGCGGTTCAATCCCCCAGCACCACATGCCAGCCAGCCCCGCCCCCTGGTGGGCTGAGCTGGCCACACGTGTGCACACACACACACACACACAGAAAGAAAGAAAGAAAGAAAGAAAGATAACATGCAAATGTGCTTTTCCTTGATTTCATGGGTAGATAAATCCCCAAGTGTCTCTTGAACACTGAATAAATATTTAATATTTTTGCATAAATACTTAAAGACAACCAATAGTACATGACATTCAATAAATGTAGTCCTTCAAGACTAAAGGAGCCACACATGGTGGCACTCACCTGTAATTCCATCATTTTAGGAGGCCCAGGCTAGGCTCAGACTTGCAGTCCTCCAGCCTGGGCAGCTTAGCTACTCAGAGCCAACATCAACATGAAGAGTTCCTAACAAGAACTGGGGATAGAGTTCACTGCAGAAAATATAGTTCAGTCTTCAGTACTACACACATGCACACACGCACAGACACACACGATGTTGCTACTCTAGCATAAAATGTTTTCCATTCCTGATTCAAGAGGAGACATTTAGAATTGTTTCAGTTGCAAGTTGTTTGTTTGTTTATTGTTTGTGGAACTGGGCATTGAACTCCAGCCCTTGCGTTTACCAGGCAAGCACTTATTCTACTGAGCCATCTCCCCAGCCCACAAGTTGCTGCTTATGTTTAATTGTTAGCCCTTTAAGCAGGCCATGTGTGTTGGTGGCCCAGGCACTGAGGCCCCCAAGCAGCCGACATCTCTGTCACAGCACACTGATTGGGTTTGGGAGTCAGCCAGTTTCCCAGACACACCTGGAAGCTTTGGACTACCTCACCATGTTTTTTCATGCCCTCCACACTCAATAATACAATGGTGCGTACTCAGTAAATGTGTCATAGAGTTTAATTAAAATCATCCTATGCTTCTGAACAGTTAACGTAACCACAATATTGGTAGCCCTTTTCTATAGAAAATGTCACAGAGCTGATTTGGGATATTTCTTCCAGATTCGATACAAAACCAATGAACCTGTGTGGGAGGAAAACTTTACCTTCTTTATTCACAACCCCAAGCGACAGGATCTTGAGATCGAGGTATGTTTTTTGTAGCTTTTTATTGGTGTATTGAAATATAATTGCCCTACAGTGAACTACCCGTATTTAAAGTGTACAGCCTGATGGATTACGCACACCCATGGACCCATGACCACAACCAAGATAATATATCCATTTCCAAAGAAGTTCCCTCGTATCCCTTACCCCTCCACACCCCCTCCCCAAATACACCACTGTAAATCACGATTCTCATTTCCTGGGTTTGGTTTTTTTTTTTTTTTTTTTTTTGTGGCTGGCTCAGCCCACCCTGGGGCAGGGCTCGTGTGGCATGTGGTACCGGGGATCAAACCACAGTCACAAAGCTTGCCTAAGCAGGCGCTTTAGACCACTGAGCTATCTCACCCGCACCTCCCTGGAATTTTATATAAATAGAATTATACAGTTTCTTCTTTTTTTGTGTGCACTGTTTCATGTAATTATTGTGTTATTGCACGTATGAGTAGCATGTGCTTTTTAATTACTGGGTAGTATTAAAATTGTGGATGGATGTCCACATTTGGCTTATCTATTCGCCTGTCAGTAGAAGCTGATAAAGGGTAGGTTTTTTTCTGCCTAGACAATACTATCCAAAATCAGTCTGCTCTGAGTATTCAGTCTATATGGACATGTCCCTCCATTTTTGCTGGGTAGATGCCTCGGTGTGTGTTTAGCTTCCCCACACAATGACCGGCTGTCCCGGGGTGGAAGCACTGCTGGATGCTCCATCACAGTGCATGGCAGCATTGTCTTCTGCACACCTTGCCAGCATTCCAGTTAGTGGGTGGGAAGTGAGGCAGCCCCAGCCTGCAGCGTCACTCCTGCAGCCGTGCTTACCCATGGTCCGCCCCAGTCTGAACTGTGGACCACATCGTCACAAGACGATGGGGTCCATTGAGACAAGATGTGGGGTTGACGGGACGACAGAGACACAGGGTCGTTCCATGTGGTTCAGACTGGCCTTAAGTACTTCAGCCTTCCTTGGCCTCCTGGGTGCTGGAGTTACCGACGTGTGCCATCACCCCTGGCAGTGAGACTGATTTTGAGAGCATGGGAGACCGTATTCGTGCCGCCACTTTCGTTTGCTTATCGCTCACCGTGCATATTTTATAAATTAAGCTTTACCACTGATACGCATATGTAGGCGAGAAACCAGCACATGTAAATCCCGTGCTGTCCTTTGTGTCCTTTTGTCGTGCACCCTCATCAGTGAAGGTGGCAGCAACAGCTCACGGTCTCAGTGTGATGGCTCTTACTGGGCTTCTTTTCAGATGTGTATTTGCCACCTGTGTCTCCACTGTAATGAAATATCTTCAACCCCTTTGCCTATTTTTGGGAATGAGGTTATTTACTTTCTTTCTATTTTTCCTTTTTCCTTTTTTTTTTTTTGTATTTAGTACAGGATCTACAGGGTCTCACTACATAACTACGTAGATTGGACTCCTGGTGATACTCTGTTTTCAGCCTCCCAAGTGCTGGGATTACAGGCTTATGCCACCACTCCCAGTCTCAGTTGCTGTCCCAGTGTGCTCTGGGAATGGGGCCGGTGCTGTAGGCCAGGGATCGAACCCCAGCTACTGCACTCTTTCCTTTCTTAATACTAAATTACTTAGTAATTAATATATATTGTACTTAATACATAGTAATACTAGAAACAAGTACTTTGGGGATGTGTTTTCTACAGTTATTTTCTCAGTCTGTGGCTTGATTTTTCCATCTTAGAAGTGTCATAGGAGTCAAGCATGGCCCCATACACCTGTCATCCCAGCTACTCAGGGGGCTGGGACAGGAGGATCCCAAGTGCAAAGCTAGCCTGGGCTGCTTAGGAAAACCTGTCTCAGTAAAATAAAAACAGCTAGGGTTATAGCTTAGGGTTCCCTGAGTTCAGCCCTCAGCATCACAAAAACAAAATAGACAACAACAGAATGTCTTTGGAGAAAGCAGAAGCTTAAAATTTGGTGTAGCTCACTTGATCACCCTTTTCTTTTTAGTTTATTCTCCTTGTGTCCTAGTTAAGAAATATTTGCCAAACCATTGGTCCCCAAGCCTTTGTCCTCTCTGTCTTCTAGAAGTTATATTTTAACTTTACACTTAGGTCTATGTCCAGTGAGTTTTTCTTTACAGGATGATTGAAAGGTCATGGTTCTTCTCTTTTTTCCTCGGATGGATAGCTATCATTGTTCAGCAGTGTTTGTTGAAGACCTGATTCTGTTTTTATTTAATGACCTAAGCAACCATGGGTGTGGACACAGGGCCCCGGGTGAGGGTCTGCTTCTGGAGCACTTCTGTCTTGCTTTACTTACCTATGTTCTGTGCCAAGCACCATCCCTGGTGCTCTGTGCACAAATCCTTTCCTCAGATGATGCCAGCCACAAGCTTTGTGTCCTTGTGGTGCTGAGATTGGAACTGAGGCCTCACTCCTGCTGGGCGTATACTCTAGCGCTGAGCTACACTCCCAGCCTGATGACCCTCCCACCCCGGTCTCCTGAGTAGCTAGAACTGTGTTATTTTTATTAGTTGTCTTGGCTATTTTGAGAGTGCATTTCCATAGGAGTTTTAGTATCAGATTGACAGTTGTCTACTGTAAGAGCTGCTAAAATTTTGATGGGAATCTCATTAAAGCTATAGATGAAGTAGAGTTGCCATCTCAATGTAGAATCTTTCCACTCATGGAAACATTGTATTCTTTCACTTATATAGGTATTTGGTTTCCCTTAGCAATGTTTTATAATTCTTTTTTTTTTTTTCCTTTGGTGGAACCAGGGATTGAACTCATGCCCTTGCGCTTGCCAGGGAAGCACTTATTCCACTGAGCCATCTCCCCAGCCCCTATAATTCTTTTTTTTTTTTTTAAATATTTATATATTTATTTATTTATTTTGTGTGTGTGTGTGTGTGTGGCCAGCTCAGCCCACCAGGGGACAGGGCTGGCTGGCATGTGGTGCTGGGGGATTGAACCGCAGTCCCTGTGTTTTGCTTTGCTAAGCTTGTTCTAAGTAGGTGCTTTAGACCACTGAGCCATCTCACCAGCCCGTTTTTGTCTTTTTGAGACAGGGTCTCAGTATACAATTCAGGCTGGCCTTAAGCTCACTTTTTAGGCCAGGCTGGTCTTGAACTCATGAGGATTCTCCTACTTCTGCCTCCCAAGTGCTAGGATTGTAGGCATGCACCGCCACGCCTGACTGTAATTGTTTTCTTATGGTGTCTTTTTCTAGTTTGGTATCAGGGTAATGCTGGCATGGTGAATTGAGTGTCACCTCCTCTTGGGTTTCCAGAAAGACTTGTTTACAATCCAAATAGTTCTGTTTGTTTTGCCAGAACTTCAACTCAGAATCTAGTGGGTGCCAGGCAGTGCCATGCTGCTGAGCTGTACCCCGCCGTTTGTCTTTCATACTTGATAGCCTATAGTTTTCTTAGTAAGGTGTTTCATATCCATCAGTACATGTATAGTGCTATAGGTTATCTATTTCTTCCTGATGGGTTTTCTTACCTTGCCATCCAAGGAATTCATTCATTTCCTGTAAGTTGCTGATCATTATTTCCTTAGTAATTTCTTTTTTAATTTTTCTTGACTCATGAGTTATGGAGTTAAAGGCTTGTTAGTTTCCTTTCCAGTGTTGGGGATTTTTTAGGCCACTGGTTCTGATTTCAGTACATAGTGTTTAGAGTATGCACTTGACATGACCTGAGCCCTCTACATTTGAGACTGACTTTGTGGCCTGGTGTGACCTTCCTTGGTCCTTGCCAGATGGACCCAAAGATGGCCTCTTGCTGTCAGCCACCTGTATGGGGGGGCCTATTGCCCAAGTCCTCTGTCTCTTCGAGTTTTCCCAACTGTCTGCTGCATCAGGGATCAACAGTTGGGAGCTGGGGGCTGTGGCTGTGGCTGTGGCTGTGGCTGTGACTGTGACTGTGACTCTGTCTGTTTTTCCTTTCGGTGTGCTTTTTGCCCCATGCATCCAGAACATTTTAACAGACCTGTGAGGGCCAGATGGCCCAGCTGTTGACAGCCATGTCCTGTATCTTTATTCTTGTTTGTTGTTTTATATTTTATGTCCTGTTTTGTACAAAACCATTTTTATTTTACATAGCTAATTTTTTGTTCTTAAATTATTTTCATTTTTAATTTTTCTCTTGAGATAGAGTCTCACTGATTCATGCATATTTAGACTGGCCTTGGACTCACTGTGTGGCCCAGGCTGACCTCAAACTTAGTGATCCTTTCACCTTAGCCTCCCAAGTGCAGAGATTATAGGTTTGCACCAAGAGCTTCCTTCATAAATTCTTAAAATAATTTTTACTTATTAGGTCTTGAATTTCTTTTTTTTTAAATTTATTTATTTGTGTGTGTGTGTGTGTGTGTGTGTGTGTGTGTGGCCAGCTCAGCCCACCAGGGGTACCAGGGGGCGGGGCTGGCTGGCATGTGGTGCTGGGGGATTGAACCGCGGTCCCTGTGCTTTGCTAAGCTTGTTCTAAGTAGGTGCTTTAGACCACTGAGCCATCTCACCAGCCCCAGGTCTTGAATTTCAAAAATAACTTTTGAGGTTCTATGAACACTGTCATAGTTATCTCACTTAAAATTGATTATATAATTATAGTTTTGTTTTAGAGATAGGGTCTTAATATGCATTTCAGGCTGCCTTTGAATTCACTATCATAGCACAGGCTGACTTCAAACTCTCAGTAATCCTTCTGCTTCCTGGGATTATAGGTGTGTACCACTACACCAGCTGATTATAATTCTAAAAGAAATAAGTCAGGATTTTAGGTTTTCCTATGAAGTTATGTATATCAGCTTCACTGACTATTTTCATGTAGCTTATGGAAACTCCAGGGTTCTTGTTTTATTTGATCACAGTTCTGTACAGCTTCATGCTGGGTATCCTTTGTTTTATAGCTAATGCTGAAGGTGATTGTTATTCATCATAAAGAAATGACCATGCATGTAAAGCAGATACTAAAGGGGCTGGTGCCTGCTTAGGTAAGTGCAGGCACCGCATGCCATGCCAGCCCCGCCCCCAAGGCAGGCTGAGTTGGCCAAAGTCCAGGCGTAGTGGCGCATGCTTGTAAGCCCAGCGCTGGGGAGGCTGAAAGCAGTAGGATCACTACGATCCAAGGTGCACAGTGGGACCCTGCCACAACCAAATGCATTGAAAATAAACAAGTATAGATAAAGTAGAAATTATAAATGTTTGAAGCAACCATGTAGACTGAATAGGGAAAGCTTAAAAGATACTTAAAAGTGCATTTTGTCCATAAATAAATGTCACCATTAGAAATTTCACACATATTACACATGTCTTAGTGCCATTTTCATTGACATTTCCTTCTAACCTTCAGATCTGTGTAGACTCTTATCTCCTAACTCTGGTTTCTTATACCAAAATGCATAAAACAGTATTCTTTGTTGTGTTCATTATGGTTTTGTCATGAACAAAAGAAAACACATGTGTCAAAGACATTTTGCTTGTGATGGTGTTTAATCTTGCTGAAGAAGTTTCCTAGGGCTGGTGAGATGGCTCAGTGGTCTAAAGCACCTACTTAGAACAAGCTAAGCTAAGCAAAGCACAGGGACTGCGGTTCAATCCCCCAGCACCACATGCCAGCCAGCCCCGCCCCCTGGTGGGCTGAGCTCGCCACACACAAAAAATAAATAAATAAATAAACAAACAAAAAAATTCTAAAAAAAAAAGTTTCCTAATAGCTGGTCATTTATGAAAATAGTACTTTAAAAACTATGGCTGGCCAAGGAGCTAGCTCCACGTCTAAGCGTCTGCCTGGGAAGCACAAGGACCCGGGCTCAGTCCCTGGTACTGTACGTGAGTCCGAGCTGCATAGCGAGACCCTGTAGCAGTGTATCACTGGAGCCAGGGGTGGTGGCACATGCCTGTGATGCCGGCACTCGGAGGGCTGAGGCCCGTGAGACCAGCTTGGCCACTCAGCAAGACCTTGCCTTAGATTTAGTTTAAAATGTGACTTAGTGTCTCAGTATTTAGTCCCCATTTGGGATGAGAAATATGGCTTAACTATCTTCGGGTTCTTCTTAAAATATCCCTTAAAAGAGAAATTTTGTACTTTCTGCATTTTCTATGTCTGTCCTCCCTCTGAGATAAGTGTATTCTCCCCTCCCAACCCCCTTGAATTCTCACAGGTCAAAGATGAACAGCACCAGTGCAGTCTGGGGACCCTGAGGATCCCACTCAGTCAGCTGCTGGCAAGTGAGGACATGACTGTGAGCCAGCGCTTCCAGCTCAGCAACTCAGGGCCCAACAGCACCTTGAAGATGAAGGTCGCCCTCAGGGTACGTGCGGCCCTGCCCCTCTAGTTCTGGTCAGGGTGTGAGGAGGGGGGTGCTAGAGTGCTGTCCTGGCCGGCCCATGTGGCAGGTGGTGCCTGGGCATGGGCAGTGGTGTAAGGGCAGAGACCGCTCAGAAGTGCACTTGTTCATGGAGGGAATTTAATAAAACCCCACAAAGGGTCCAACCTAGAGGGACTCAGTCTGCTGAGGATATAGTGGAAGTGGTCGCCTTGTCCCCTGCCAGGACTCCAGTAACTGGCACAGCCTTTTAGAAAGGACTGTGTATCCCCAAGCCACGACCCTACTGGCCTTTGCATTACTATCCTATTTCTTGATGTCTAGTTTTTGCTAATAACACAAAATATGGGGAGGCCACAGAATGAAAAGATGTTCACAGCTGCTTTGTGGCATAAAATGAAGAAAGTCTTCTGCCCAGAGTCATGGCCCAGCCCCGCTTGCCTGCTGCTCCAGGCCTGGGCACTGCAGTGTGGCTTTGCTGACCGGGGATCCTGCTGGAGAGCAGGACTTCAAGACACTTCTTTTCTCTGGAGTTCCTAGCATCCCTCTTGGGGTTTCTCTTGGCATTCTGTGAGGACCTGTGACTCAGAGGCTTCTGCAGGGAGAATACTGTCTCACAGCTGAGTAGGAATGTGTGTAAGTGGAGGGGAATAGAGTAACGCATGAGGCAGTGCTGTGATGGGAAGGTGCTGAATCCTTGAGAAGAGCCTGAACTTTTTGTAGTATTGCCGCATTCTAATAATTAAATAGGTAAATTGATAACACTGCTATGTTTATGTTTTGAGCCAAGTTTTAAAGAAATCCTTGTAGGTAAATGCTGTAGAGCCACTCAAGTATCAGAATGTTGCCATTGTCACTGATTTCTTTTTTTTTTTTTTTTTTGTAGTATCAGGAATTGAATTCACAACCTTATACTTGTCAGACAAACACTGTGCTGATGAGCTGTGTCCCCAACACCTTGACTTCAGTATTTGTTTACTTTTACCTCTAGGTGCTCCATCTTGAAAAGCAAGAAAGGCCTCCAGACCACCAACATTCAGCTCAGGTGAAACGACCCTCTGTTTCCAAAGACGGGAGGAAAGTACTTGTCAGGTCTCAGGCGTCTGCATCTCCAGCCACCAGTGGCAGCAGCACGGCTCCCTCTACCCCTGTCACTGGAGCCACAGATAAGCCTGGTGCAGAAGAGAAGGCTCCACCCCCTGAGACCAGCCCTCCTGCCCAACGCGACCTGGGCAGGAGCACCTCCAGCCTCCTGGCCTCACCAAGCCATGCCGCCATCAAAGAGCCTACTCCTAGCATCGCCTCAGATATATCACTGCCCATTGCCACCCAGGAGTTGCGTCAGAGGCTGAGACAGCTTGAAAAGTAAGTGCCTGCCCGCTGTTTCGTGTGTCACAGTCAGAGAGATGACCCCATATTGCAGGGGGTACTGTGAGCACCAGCAGAGGTCACCTCCCACATACCAGCAGGGCCATTGTTTTCACAGAACTCAGGACACACTGCAGGGGCCTATAACACGGAGCTGATGACTTGCATAACCCAGGTGCTGTTCCCCCACCACAGTTCACATCCCACGAGCACAGGTGGTGTGGATGCCCTGCCTTGGGGGCTGTTAACATGCCCGGAGTTCTCCCTGGCCTCTGAGGAGATGATTTTAAGTTATCTAGAAAAGCTTAAGGTTGTGTTGCTGTTTTGCTAATCAATCCTGTCACTGGGCATGGTGATGTACCCTATAACGCCAACACTTAGGAAGCTGAGATAGGAGGGTCACTGTGAGTTCAAGGCCAGCCTGGGCTATGTAGCGAGCTCAAGGCCAGCCTGGGCTGTGTAGCGAGCTCAAGGCCAGCCTGGGCTGTGTAG